TACCTTCATAATGTTTCCTCAGCATGAATTATGACAGTCGTTGGCCTCACAGGAGCCAGCTTACAGTTAACACTAGAAGATAGTGACAATGGAAATGAATTTAGGAGGCTTGTACATCCCTGAGACTGTACACTCAACCATTTTGGGACACTTGAGTGGGGAGGCTTTAATTTAATCTTCTCTGGGGTTCCAGATGAATGTGTTATCTTGGCCAATGTTTATCTTACAAACTCTAAATATATCTTAGAGACCAGGCAGTCTTAGTGGTAAAACGCAATGCTCTGAGAGGCAGACCCACATGGGAAGATCACAGGTTCACATCCAGAGACCTCAGTATGCTGGGCAAGCATCTGCCCATGACCCAGGATGAATGAGGCTAGGTGAGGATTTCAGTGTCAAGATCCTATTGAGGGTACTGAATCTCTCTCTCTCTCTCTGTCTCATTCATGAAAAAAAAAATTAAAAAAAAATACCAAGCAAAAAAAAAGATCTGGAATAATATCCTCAACATTCTTTACAAAAATATCACTGGGTCCAGCAGATGGCATAATGGCTATGTCACTGGACTCACAGGGCCAATCACGGTTTGAGTCCCAGACCTGACAGCTTAAAACTCATACCAGATGTGTGTTTCTTCATGTCCAAGATCCCAGGAGGAGAATGGAGGAGAAGGGATTGCAGTGTGGCATCCAGCCTGGGAGGTAATTTCTAACTTTCTGGCGCTCTCTCTTGTGAGTGCATGCACCCTATAGCAAATGTCTCTTCAAAAAAAAAAAAAAATCATGAAGACAATCCTAAACCATTTCAAGTGGAGATGAAACTTGAAGAGACAGAAAGAACCCTTATCTAATCTGCCCTACACTGTTAGAGATATTAAAGGAAATAACGTGTACATTACATTTGATAGCTGAAGAGGAGCTTTGAGATGTTTTCCTAGTTAGGTACTGTCACTTGACAGATGTCTCACAAACATCAGGAGATCATGTTTCCATTAGAAAAAGTACAGCAAAAGGAACATCTTCTCCATCCCACATGACTCAGTGTTCACTGCAGCCTCCGTAGATAACAGCTCCCATGACAGTGGGTCAGTAGATCAGAGGGTCAGAAAATAAGGTGGAGTTAAACCACCTATGCAGACTTCAGTCCCTAAAAAGTAAGTTATTTTTTAAAAATATTTTCATGATAAAAGTCAGCATTCATACTTGAGTCCTAGTATCAGGGAAAAAGGGGAAAAAAGTCTTTATGTTTTCTGTTTTCTTTTAACTCTTCTTGCATGAAGTTGCTAGAAGGAGACCTTGGCCTTCCATTTGGTAGAGGTTGCTGCTGCTGAAGTCTGTGGTCTATGGGGGAGCTCCTGCATCAGAACCCCACCCACTCTCTGCTCTTCAGATAACACTGTGGATGTGATGCTCTGGCAGACCATCCAGACCCAGGTGGATTGTGCCCTCCCAACTTGACTATTCTTGGGCTACCATGTCTCCTCTGATGGGTGACAATTACTGCTGTCAATGATTAACACCTCCCCAAGATAAAAAAAAAGTCAATTAGTAAAAGCAGTCACACCAAGATACGGAAGTGTCAAAGATACTCTCAGGAGTCTCCATTTTAAGCTTTTTCTTTGTTATCTAAGAACCCCGAGTAGAGATATACGCTCAGAAGCAGAAATGCCATCTTATGAGGAAGTGACATACCTAAAGAGCAAAGGTTTTGTGAAAACCCACTAACTGGTAAACTAACTCTCTGCCCTGGGAAATTTCACAAACTCTCTTGCTTCAACTCTAGGAATTCTTTTCAGACTGTGTCAACTACATCAAGCTCATCACCAGTTCTGGAAACTGTCATTGGTCTTTACCAAAGACAATTATATGAAGTCATTAACATCTGCAGGCAGAGAACTGAAGATCCAATTCAACAACTGAACCTCTCAGTGTACTGCAAACAAGGTTCCATCAAGAACCTCCATATTGGTCTGTGGGTAAAGAAATACCACCTGTGAAAGAGGAAGACCCTCATACTTTGGTACAAAAGCTCCTAAGGGCCAGGGTGACATAGCGGGGATGCAGCTGGAGCCACACAGGAGAAGATCTGAGTTCATATCTCAGCCACTCCCTGAGCACCCTGGCATGCCTGTGGTCTGGGTCAACAAGAGACTAAGGATGGATCACAATGTCAAGGAGCTGGGGATGGATCTTTCCATGAAGGAGCGCAGCATGAAGGAACCTGTTAGGGGTGCCTATCTTTCTTTCTCTCTCTCTCTCTCTCTCTGTCCTTCTCTCTCATAGAGGAAATAAATGAATGAACTTTAAAGGAAAAAAAAGCTCTGTAGTAGACAAATTGATAGAAAGTTCTGCTGTGCCTGGGGGGCTTAGTGATATGAAATATATGTTATGTGAGACTGAACATGAGGTCAGCATGAAAGGTAGGTCACCACATCTAAAGACCTGAACGAATCAACAAGCACATTCTGTGTACAGTCAGACTGTACTCACCTATCAGGTGTACTGATGCCTTTGTAATTTAAAGTGTTTTTGTTGCCCTAAGCAGTCTTCTTTTGCCAAAGTGTTTTCTAAAAACACAGGACTAACACTACAATCTACTTCTCTAAAACCTACTCAAAGTGTAACAATATAACCAAGATAGTAGCTTATTCATCTTTTAATCTTTTTAATTGTGCAGTTAACAAATATACTTTCTACCAGAAATCAGAACATTTTATTGATTTTAGTAATTATCTCCATATTGAGCATATAGAACAGCAAAATCTCAATGGGTAAAATATCAAGGCTTAGGGACTGGCATGTGGCATGGTGCTTAAGGTGTTGAATTCCCACATGGCTGACCACAGTTCGAGTCCCGTACCCAGCACCTAGAAAAATCACATGTGACTTGTGTGCATGTGTGCCCAAAATCCCGAGAGAAAAATGGAGGAGAAAGGATTGTAGCATGGCCATCACCCTGATGATCATTTCTCACTTTCCCTTTCTCTGTCTCTTCCTGTCTCTCTCTGGCAAGCACAAGTGTACTATAATAAAAATTTTTTAAATCAAGTATTAACAATTTATATAATTAATTTAGCAAAGATTTCATCTTAGAAGTTAAAGATAAAATTCAATTATGGTTTCAAAATTTGATGCTATTGACATTTCAGACCAGATAATTCTTTGCTATTGGGTCTGTCCTGTGCAAACACACACACACACACACACACACACACACATCCATACATAGTGATGGTAAAAAAATGTTTGCAGACAATTGTCTCCTAGGGAGCAAAACTGTCCCAGGTTAAGAATCATTGAACTAGATATATCATCTCCTTTATGAACATTTTATATCTGATGTTATCATGTTCTGTCTATACTCTTATCAGTTTCCAGAAAATACCTATATAAATTCCTTCCTATCATTATTTATATAAATATTGTTAAAATTGGTTTCTTTCATGGACAAGAGAAACAGAAGAGTAGGAGGCAGCACTCTCAGCAGAATCTTGATGCTGCCATCCATTCAGCTTCGGCCAGCCCTGGATAATGGCCACCCACGTGCTCGGAGTACTCAGGGAAGTCTTGGGACACAAACCTAGAACTTTCCCAGGTGGTTGGCCTCACAGAGCACTACAGTTTGTCACTGTGCCATTGTCCAGTCCCAATTTTGTATCTTTCTTTTTTTCTTTAAGGAAAAGTTTACAAGCTTTGGAAAAAAAAAAGAAAGAAAGAAGAAAGAAAGAAAGAAAGAAAGAAAGAAAGAAAGAAAGAAAGAAAGAAAGAAAGAAAGAAAGAAAAAGAAAGGAAGAAAGAAAAACCCAAAGAAAGAAACTTAGTTCTGTCTGAGTTAAGAGACGTACTATGAATGTGGCAGCTCTTAAAGGCAGGTCATTTCACTCTGTTTTTTGAAAGGTTAAAGGTGAAAGAAAGAGATTTTCATTGGCACAGGATTCTTCAGAGCAAGCCTGTGAACATCTACAACTTTGAAAACCCCAGATGCTATTTAGATGAAAGGCAGGCCTTACAGATCAAGTCTCTTGAAACCCAAAAGGAAGGATGCCATTTCTGTTTTAGGTAAAAATGAAGTAACTTTGGTTTCTGGGAACCTCATATATTTAATGATTATCTTGCCGTGCAATCAAGCAAGAGAAACGAGAAAGAAAGAAAGAAAGAAAGAAAGAAAGAAAGAAAGAAAGAAAGAAAGAAAGAAAGAAAGAAAGAAAGAAAGAAAGAAAAAGAAAGGAAGAAAGAAAAACCCAAAGAAAGAAACTTAGTTCTGTCTGAGTTAAGAGACGTACTATGAATGTGGCAGCTCTTAAAGGCAGGTCATTTCACTCTGTTTTTTGAAAGGTTAAAGGTGAAAGAAAGAGATTTTCATTGGCACAGGATTCTTCAGAGCAAGCCTGTGAACATCTACAACTTTGAAAACCCCAGATGCTATTTAGATGAAAGGCAGGCCTTACAGATCAAGTCTCTTGAAACCCAAAAGGAAGGATGCCATTTCTGTTTTAGGTAAAAATGAAGTAACTTTGGTTTCTGGGAACCTCATATATTTAATGATTATCTTGCCGTGCAATCAAGCAAGAGAAACGAGAAAGAGAAATTTATTCCTTTCCATCTGGAAGTCTGGAGTTGCAAGCATGGGTTGTGATGACGCACGCGTGGCTTTCCTTGTTCTGCTTTCTGCCTTTGTTGACGACTGATTTTGTCATTGGATGGGTGCTGACAACGCTACTCTGGCCAGCCTCTTCTGTTTAAAGGAATTGTTTGGCATTCTATTTTGGACAGTCAAGGTCTAGTCTGCCATGACACGAGCAGAGGAAAGACAGTGTCTCTGTACTGCAAGAGCAATTAAATGGTGCTTCGTTATCAGCTCTTTGATATTGATTATAACTTTTCTGCTCCATTGGAGTGGATAATGGGAAGTTGGTGCTAAGTATGTTGAAAGTTTCCTAAGTTCTTACTGACAACAGGGTGAGAAACATGAAGCACATGGCCTGCACATGAAGCACCTACCTTGTCCTTCACCATCTCTTGCCTAATAGCATCACTTTGGCACTGCGAGTCCCCAGAAGGACGCCATTCTTTGAGGAATGGAACTTAAGTGTGATGTTTACATCTGATGGATTTTGCAGACTTCTTTAACTAAAAGACACAAAGACAGGCCCAATCAAAAGTGAGCCCTGCAGGGCCCAGGCACACTCAGGCTCAGAGGCACAGGTGGAGCTGGGCTGGCTGTGGAGCATTCAGGCTCCTGGCTGAGGGTAGGGGGCTTGGCTCCAACTCTTCCTCCAAATCCGGCTTTTTCCCCACCAGGAGCTCATTCTTACACTCTGAGCCTCAGCTTCCTCATCTGTAAGTGCTTTTAAATATGACACATGCAATCAGCTGGGTATCTCAGACTAGAGCAAAAACTAGACAAACCCTCTCATCCATCGCTAGGTAAGCATTTGGTAGGTTTATGTTTTGGACAGATTCCAATTTCGAGTCTACAAACATGCTTTTTATAGTCCATGGTCTGGTGCCAAGTAGCAAATTGTTACCAGACTAAGACAAGATGAGCAGAAAGAATGAGAGGAAGTTTTGAGAAAAACATGTAACAATGCACTTTTTCCTGAAGCCCCAGCACATGATCAATGAACTTGTCCTATTGAATAGGGCATAGAGCAGATTGGGTGTGGTGACACTGGCATGACCACTGTCATGTGGTAGCAGCTATGCACTTGTCATGCCTAGCAAGACCTCCTTACAATGTATAACACAAGGCTTGTCAAGACCAGCAGTTAGCATAATGGCTATGTCGTTGGACTCCCATATAGTTGACCACGTTGCGAGTCCTGGACCTGATGGCTTAAACTCATGCCAGGCACATGTACATGTGTGCCCAAGATACAGAGAGGAGAATGGAGGAGAAGGGATTGTGGTGTGGCCATCCCCTCGGGGGGTGATTTCTTGCTTTCTCTCTCTCTTTCTGGTGAGTGCACATGCCCCATAGCAAAAACCTCCCCTCAAAACAAGGCTTGTCAATTGTAATCCAATATGGTATATCTGTACATGTTTATGGTTTATTTATCATTTGTTTTTTATAATCCCAATTTTAATGACTTTAATGCAAACATGCATGAATGCTTATAAAGAACATATAAATATACATACACAAATATTTGGTAACTACATCTGGCTAGTAAATTCATATTGCAGAGTGCTAAAATTAGTGTTATTTATGGAAGAGTTCTGATTCGTGAAACTGAATACAACTGGTACATGGTATTTCCTTAGCAAATTCAAAAAAAAACAAAAAAGAGAATTCTTTGAGAAAGAGCTTTGAATTAAAAGGTTGACAGAAGCAGATTTTCAGCATTTTATATATAAACATTAAAATTTGGGGGGCATCATAAAGAATTGCTCTTCAGTTTATAAAGACTTAAAGCCATTTATAATTGCTAAGAAATTAACCCAAAATTGTTTTGGTAATGACTACTCAGAAATTTTGGGTGAAATCAATAGGAAAAATAGGGCTCAAATACCACTCTTCAATCTGATGCATTTAGGACATAAGATATAAGGCCAATTAATAAAATGAATAAAACTAGCTATTTTTCATGGCAACTTGACAAATGCAAAGATATCACTAAAATGACAACTGTTTTAATATTATATACTTTGAACAGAATGACAGAGAATTTTTTCCCAGCCTTATTTTTGCTATGGTTTGAATGTGTGTTCCCTCCAAAATTCATGTAGAAACTAATTCCCAGTGCAACAGTATGAAGAGATGAGGCTTTCAGAAGGTAAATAACTACCCCTATACAGAAGGACTCAAAGTTGAGTGTGTATTTTTGTCCTTCTGTCCCTTGTGCCATGAGAAGTTTCAGTGCTTGTCCCCTTCAGAGAATGTAGTAACAAAGTATCATGCTGGAAGCAGAGACTCACCCTCTACACTAAACTTTCTGGTGCCTCAATCATGGACTTCCCAGCCTCCAGAACTGTAAGTAATAAATTTGTTTTCAATGAATCCCCCAGTCTGTGGTATTTTGTGAAAGCAGCACAAATAGACTAAGACAGTTGTTGACAAACACAGCTAGTTTTATGTTGAACAAAACTATGAAGGATTACATTGTCAACAAATGTGCTTTAGAATTTAAGTTTTGTGTAGGAATGTGTCCTAATGGCACAACTATAGTAATAGAAAACATTTAGGAAGAGTTACTCAGAGTGAGAATATTGAGATAAATGTAGTCAGTCAGCATACCACTTCTTCATGGAAAAAAAGTCTTGCTATGAATTGTGTCATCTGAATTCAATGTGTTTAGTAACACAGCAAAACCTAATCTGTTTATGATTACTCCTTTTGTAATGTAATAATATGGAAGTTGATCCTGTCTGGTACTAAATGAGGATTTAAGGTTTTTATGGAGCAGAAATGTTGTGTTGAGCAAGTCTGAACTGGGCTAGCCCATGCAGCACTGTGGTTAAGGAGGCTGGATCCACATGGCTCACTGCAGGTTCTAGTCCAAGACCTGGCAGCTTGAAAAACATGCTGGGCATGCGTGTGTGTGACCAATATCCCTATAGGAAGGCAAGATAGAGGAGAAGGAATTGTGGATGTGATCATCCCCTGTGGGGATGTTTCTTTCCTTTTTCACTTTTCCTCTATCTCTGTTTCCAGTAAGTTAAAAAAAAATTTTTTTTTGAACAGGCAGGTGCTGCAGTAACCTGGCTGGACCCATATGGGAAAGGTCCCAGGTTCACATACTAGGACCTACCTGAGCATGCCAGGCATATGTGCATGTGCTTGTGGTTCAGGCCAGCTGGGACCATGGAGACCCTATCAGGAATGTCTGTCCGTCCCTCATTGAAGAAATAGAGGAACTTATAAAGGAGGAAGAAAAAGTCTGTATGTACAAAAAACAATCTTGATGTTTCTACAAAATAAAACTAGTTTGACCAAGGGGTAGAGCAGTATAAAAAAGTATAAACTGTACAATCGGTCTTGCGTATTGGTCTGCTATCAATACAACTATAACTTTACAGGATAAATTGTGGAATTATCTTTTGATAGACTGAATATGAATTTTGAGAATACAGCATCACTTGCTTAATTTTGAGTTAATTAATTTGAATTTGCTGTAACTTGTTTAAATCTCTTGCACTGCCTTCAACATACTCCTGAGACTAGCTTTTCTAATTTGAGTTTTTAAAACACAGTTGTTTAACTGTATCACGGGACTTCAATTAAGTCATGAAAAATTGTAATTAAAGGAATTAAAGTACACGCTTATTTTGGTGCAAAAAATTGAAACACAAGCATTTTTTTTCATCCTACACACTTTCAATAAACTTTTAAAAGAACTCCTTATACATTGTACCTTGCAAGTAACCTCATAAGCTCAAATTATATTAGAGAAATTACAAGAAGCATACACATTTGAGGGATGACAAAATGTTTTAACTATCAACAGGGATTCTCAGTGTCAATCAAAAAAGCACATTCTTTCAATGCTGTGTATTGATTTTAAGATGTTTTATTCCTATGTTATATTTATTTTAATGACAGTTATTAAAATGTGGATGTATTGTGATTTTTTTTTAAGTTTACTTTTTGGTGTTATTTTATGAGAGACAGAGAAATACAAGGACCTTCAACAGGCTCCCCCCAAGCCTTTCCAGCTAGCCAGGGACACAGACACATCTATGGCCAGCACGTAAAGGCCAATCCAACATTCCATTTAGCTTTGGCATCACGGAGCAGCATCTACTGCTATGCCATCATGGCTGTGCTGCACCACTATGGCTGGGCCTGTTGTGCTATCTTTAAAAAGAAACTAGATTTGTTTTATGCTTGTTTTCTATTTAATTTTATAATAATTTTATAATCTTTTACAAAAATATTATAGGAAATAATACATAAGAAATTAATGTTAATAATCCACAACATTTACAAAAATATTATAGGAAATAATACATAAGAAATTAATGTTAATAATCCACAACATATAGGACATTAATGAGAAACAAAATAACACCACAGACAATTTGAGAACACTAGTAATGATAAAATGTTTCCTATCTCCTCATACAACTCTCCTCTTTCATTTGGTTCTTTCATTTGAGTGAAGTGTTCACCTGTGTGTTTGTCACTAGGCATCTTAATCTTGGGATCATCTCAAGGGATATTTACATATTTCAGGATTTGCTTATAAATAAAAGGCTATTCAAAGCTTAGAGAGACTAAGATGTAAAAATGAAAGGCCTTTTGGTGGAGTCCATTGTTAGAATAAGCAAATATCAGGTTGAACTTAGAAGAAACGTAGTTCAGTACGTGGCCTAAGTTAGGAGATGGTTCTGAATAGACTGAGAATGACAACGGAAACATTGGATGTGGATTCTAGAGTGCATACTGAGCAAATGGGCCTGGGACAGATTGCATAAGTTCTGCTCCTACATACTGAACGTGAAGGACCTTGGGCAAATTACATGATAACATCTTTTCATTTGTATTATACATTGAGAATGTTAATAATAGTTATTACCCCCAAAGACCCGATGCGAGGATTGAGATTGCTTATGGAAAGTCCTTTAATAGTACTGATGCAGGTTAAACTGATAGCTCTTGTTATTAAAATGCAAAGCACTTTCACATGCTGCTGCCAAATTCAACCTCCTCCACAGTTTGGTAAGTATCAGGGAAAAGACTTTTACCAGTAGTCTAGAATGAGGAAGCTCAGGCTCAGGGTATTCATGACCAACCCAAGGCCATAAGTGGGAGAGTTCCCATTTGCAAATCCAGCTCTTTCCTTGGTGAGTCAAGCCTCCCTGGCAAGAGGCTGCCCAGTCCTAGGAATGGGGAGTTTACCGCTATTATGACAGCTCAGATCCTTGCAGTCAACCAATTCTAATCAGTGTTCTTGCAGCTACCATCAGTTGGATCTGGTCATGTTCTGAAGCAAGAGAATAAAAAAAGGTGCCAGATGGCATAGTGGTTGTCACTGGACTCACACATGGCCAGCCGTGTTCAAATCCCAGACCGGGTGCCTTGAAACACCCAGGAGTGTGCTTGTGCGTCCTCACAATCCCAGGAGGGGAAAGGAGGAGAAGGGATTGCGGTGTGGCCATCCTCCCTCCCGTCTCTCCCCATCCCCACTGTCTCTATCTCTCTCCAGTGAACACTTGCCTGAAAGTCAAAACTTCTAAAAAACAAACAAACAAAAAAAGTCCCTGATATCCTCAGAAGCAGAAGAGGGACTACCTGCCCCAAGTCTGGGTTAAATGACTGGAGCCTCCCACAGGAGCCCAGGCCCTGGTGTGGGACTGCCCTCGTCTGGACATCACAAACCTGAGCTTCTCCCCAGGACCCACCGCCTCCGCCCACAGCCCAGCGTCACCGCGATCCTGGAGACCCTCCAGGGTAAGCTCTGTGCTTTCCTTGCTGCCCTCTTGGTTGGCCAACACCCTAACTCGGCTCTGTGGAAATACAACCCTCCCTTCTCCAGTCTGCTAGGAGAAAGGACACCACACCTGGCTCATTAGAAACACCGGCTGCTCCTCAGCCATCGCGCCCACAGCTGTGGAGTTTTCCTGGCGTCTCCCCCACCTCTGCTGCCCCTCAAGGACCTGCCCTTGCCTGCAGCAACCCCACTGAAGCAGTAGCTCACCTCAGCGTGGGGTCGCAGCCATTCTCTGCTTCCTGCAGCGCTGGACACAGTATGGATATGGCCGACCCTGCTCCGACTACTGAGACCACCCCACGCAACAGCCACGCCAACGTCACAGCAGGCCACAGGCCACGGAGTTAGACAGGGCCTGCTCCTGGCTCTGCAACCCCGCCCCTCCTATGCAACACGATTCTGCCCATCCCACCAAACGCCACGCCCACCGCCTATCCCGCCAGGCCAAGTTTCGCCTAATAGATCATGTCCTATTCTTCTTTTGTCTTTCTCATTCATAATTCTTAAATTTCATGTACAATTTAATCAGTAATTCAGGGTGCAGAATTCCATTCAAATTACAGGGTATTAATCACCCACATCCAGATCCACTTGCCTTTCTAGTCTAGGTGGCAAAGCCCTAGATGCAGCATCTGGTGTATGTGTGTCCGTTCTTCCCCATCTCCCACCCGCTCCCTAGCTGATATTTTTCTTTCCCTCGTTATTCTCTTCTGCCTCCGTAATG